CGGTGGAGGCCTGCCTGTGTCCCGACGCACCTCGCCTCTCATCGCCCTGCGCCGCTCCACCTGCCGCTGCCGCTGTTGGCTCCATCGGCGCCCCGGCGCGGCGCACGGCCCTTCGGCGTGGAGGCTTGGGGCGCGGGCTCCGCGCGCACTTCGGAAGAGGCGGCGGCGGCAGCAGCAGCAGCTTTTCCAAATTCGGGAAAAAGGATTCGTAGAGCGACGCTTCTTGCAAAGCGCCTGGTCGGGTGCTCGGCGGAAGGAATATCCTGAGCTATACTTCTGCGTGCCTGTGGGAAGCTTGTCTTGAGCAGTGTTTCGAACTACAAACGCATCATTCTCGTTTCTTTGAGGTTTTGATTTTCTAAAACATCTACAGAGGAGCCGTTCTCTCGCCGAAAGAAAACCAGAGAAAGGTCACAGAAAATACACGCTATTTACCAATGTCTTAAAACAAGCGGGCGAAACTACGAATAAATCCCACAAAGATAAGTTGTTGTTTTATTTATTTCTAGCCAAGTGTACATCTGACACAATCAATACGAAACCTCTCGTCTGTGGTACATGAATGGTTGGATATTCGAGTACGAACATAAGGTGTACGTACTCGACGCAAACCAACTTGACTACTTAAATGATTACGAACTTCAGATACATATTAAACTAAATAATATTTCGTATTATGTAGTTCAAAGGACTCGTACAGCCATGGACCCACAAAAAGTAACTTATCTTTCCAGACGTTTTAAGGTTTGTGTGCAAATCGCACTGGCGATGAAATTCCGAAGCTCGGTATTCCTTATCTATTAAATACAACGAGAACTAATAATATGAGATGAATAGAATCTACGATGAAAATTATTAAAGAGGCTGATGAATCAACGATGGGCATTGTTAGTTACAACGCATCTTGTATTAGTCTTGAAATCTCATTGTGGTTGATGAGCTCTTAATAAGAAAAGTTATAAACCAATCGTCATAGTCCCCTTGGCAAAGGAATATCCTGAAATGACGCATAAAATAATTTGCTTCTTGCGCGGCTCAACACGTAGTACGGAGAGGAGAAGAGGGTGAGAGGGGAGGGGGTCACAGCGAGTGTCCGGGCAACGTCCAGCCTGCACGAGGATCTCGTATCCGACAAGCGAAGTTCGCCACGGGGCGACGCAAGTTCATAGCCACCCATGCCCCACCCTCCTCCCACGCTGCTGTTCCACGGCCACCCCCGCTGCTATTGTCGTCCTCGCTTACACCACAGCCGCCCCGCCACAGCTCATTCGCTCTGACGCCCCCGCCAACCCGTCGTTTTCACCGCCCCGCCGCCACTAGCCCAGTCAACCATGCCATCACCGCCCCACTAGACCCGTCAACCATGCAATCATCACCCCACCATCCCCGTCAACCACTTCATGCCGCCGCCGCCACCATCCCCGCCAATCACGCTATCGCCGCCACCACCGACCCCGTCAACCACATCTTCGCCGCCCCCATCACCTACCACCGCCACCACCATCCCCGTCACCTCTGCTAACGTCGCCGCTGCCACTGCCGCCGCCTCCGTCGCAGCCGGGGGCGCAGCGCGGCCGTTTGATGTCGCGGACGCGCTGAATGGCGGCGGCGGCGGGGGAGCCGGCCGCGCATCGAATTTCCGCTAAAGCAATTTGAACGCGACCTCCCGCGACGCTGTTGCCAGAGCGCCGAGCAACCGATAGGGGATTGCGAGGGGCGCGGGCGGGCGAGTGTTTGTGTGGGAGGCGAAATGAATGGGAGCGGGGAGGAGCGAATGCGAAACACAGACGCGTGCAGAACGTGGGCGTGAGAGGTGGACCTCTGTACGATGACGCAGACGAGTTACTGACGGCTGCTGAGAGAACGAAAATCTGAGTGGATTTCAAGTGACCGGAGAAGCCAGAAGAAGCGGAGTTTCAGTAATAAGGTGATAACAAGAAAGAAAACTAGTGACTACATACAGCGCACGCCTCTAGCAGCTACATATAGTCTTGGGGTGAAATATTTGGTAAGAAAACATTTAGAATTTAGATAACAGCTCGACGGTACGTCATATTACAAGGGAGTATGAAATGAACGAGGACCTCTGCTAGCTATTCAGGACGATTGAATGGAATGAATATGTGAAGATTCAATGAAGATTTAAAGTAAATAATTTTAATTTTGAATTAAAAAACGCCGTTTATAATAAATTAACCCCGGCAATTAGCAAAGCTCTAATTAATGTATGCGCACGAATTGTAAGCCTACAGAAGCCAAACTTAATTAACAACAAAGGAACTGAAATAGGAGCTTGCGAAAACTCTTAAGAGTTAACCTTCATATACAATGTTTATATAAGAAGAATTGATTTCAACGCAAAGAAGTAAATTATGAAGTTGACTACTTAACCTGTTACTTCTAGGCTGTCCGGGTGACGCCGCGTCGTTGGCAGATAGGCTTATCTGCCAACGACGCGGCGTCACCCGGACAGCCTAGAAGTAATGGACTCGAGCCGCGGAAGCCTACGTGTATACTTACTGTTGTATTAATTAATAATGTAATGCATTATAAATTTATTAACAATTAACAAATGTATTATTTTATCAGCATTTATTTGTTTCATTTAAGCGCCATGGAAATCTTGTAGTATACATAACAGAGGCACGGTTAAGACTAATTCGGGATTCTTAAATTGGGGCCCATTTTCTTAACAACAACACAGTTAAAACGCCGCATTTATTCTAGGCAGGGAGTTCCAAAACTTCCACAACCGGGGCAGCGTCTCAGCAGCAACAGTGTCGCATGCACGGGCGCGGGATTGGAGGGGGGAGGGGAGGGGCGGGCGGGGGACGGCGCGCGCCCGGAGGTGCAGCCGAGTGAAAGGAGGAGCGGGAGCGGGCGAGGCGGGGGAAGCTGTGAAGAGATGGGCGCGGGGGCCAGGCGCCGCACGGGGACGGGAGCAGGGGGGGGGGGGCGAGGGCGAGGGGAGAGGCGCCAACCGCCGACATTGATCCGAATCGCGCATCGCTGTCCCTCTCTTACCTGCTTGTGCATCTCGACGTTGAGGCCGTACGACATTTCGTAGTACTGTAACAAAAAGAAACCACATATCAATTAGTACGGTACGAAGAAGTGATGTCAGTCAAGTCGTTCACATTTTGCGTGGCAAAAAGCACATGAATGGAAGTTGATTTGATTCCACAAAGTCGAAAAATTCGTCATTTTGTATGGTTTATTGTGATTGACTGATTCAGAACTTTGTTACATTTCATTACAAAAATGCATTTTATCACGTTTAATTTTTATTTAACAAAGCTGGAATATCCGGAAATTAAGTTCCTAATCTTTAAGCATTTCTAAAAGATGGTGAAAGAAGAAACCTTTGAGGTGGTAACTATTACAAAACGCTACTGACTACTGCTACTACTGTCTTGATAGTAGGGAAATTATACTAATCTAACAGGGCAACACGAGTCGTGTCGCTTAACTAGAAACAGAAAAAAAAACAAAAAGCAAGTGGATTCCGTCAGAGAAGTATCAATCCAGTAACATTTTCGACTCAGGTTCAATTCATTTCTGGAAATTAGGTTGCATTTAGAGATTATTTACGGAACAAAAACTCAACAGCCACGTATTGGATTTCGCATTCCCAGACCCTCCAATTTTCCGAGAAGAGTACAAATGGTAATAGAATACGTGGATCATCCAACAGTAATCCTCGCGCAGGAGTCCACCTCGGGGCTGCGCGAAAGACGCTTCTGTTCGTGCTCCCGCGCCACGGCACAATGGGACGACCGCGGCGGCGCGGGGTCGCAGGCACCGGCACAAAGGAGCCGCCGGGGATCGAACTCGGGCTGCGGCGGCAGCGGCGGCGCGGGGCAGAAAGCTCGGCTCGGGCCGGGGGAGGGGCGACGAGGTCGCGAGGTGAGGTCGGCGGCCGCGACTGACGGCCATGTTTGACGCGCGCCCGGGAACCGCGTCGTGACTGATGGCGGCCGGCGCAGCGAGAAGCCGTGTGCGGCGGAAGCCACGGGTGGGCACGACCCTGCGCGACTGAGGTGCAGGGAGGTGTCGGCACGGGTCCGCAGCGGCGACCGGCAGCGGCGGAGCGCAGTCAAACGGAGGCAATGGGTGCGGCGAGCGATAGTTGGCGGACGAGATGGGCTCGGGGGATGGGAAGTTCCTGAGGAGCCCAGCGAGAGGATGCTGCGTATAGTTGGCGGAGTCAACGCGGTGTACGACGTAGTGTAAATAGCTTGATACCGGATAGACGTAATACCAACATCTCCATGCAGACTTCATCTTGAACTTTTTCCTTACGACTCTTCGCTCAGGTTTATTGCGAGACCTCGACTTACAAACATGATCAAATACGTTTGCAAACTATTTACTGGAAGACTTCTGGGACGGGTATTCGCAAGTGGATATGGGGAGCAGCGGGTTTGCGAAGAACAAGTGACAATAGGAGCTGAGCCGGCGGTGGGCAACGGTGGTTGAGAAATATGTAGGCCTGACGTCACAAAGTGACAGTATGATTGATTGTTAATGATTCCTGGCGCGTCAACTACCAAGGTCATTGGTCCCGTAAGTGTAGAGCATGCTTTTGTTCGGAAGGTAGCGGTGGTCTTCCCGCTGTATGGCGAGAACCGTCGGCACCGCCCCAACCGGGAGAAGCTCAAAGCATCGGTAGTGAAGTGTGTGTGTGTGTGTGTGTGTGAGGAGAGAGGGAGGGTTGAAAATAAAACAAGGAAGAGGAAGGAAAGATCGCGCGTGGCATGTTTATTAGGGTACTGCTCTAGAAAACTACCGATCAGAGCAGCCGGTCGCTAGAGTTCTTCTCCAGACGGCGAGGCGAGGCGAGGCGAGGCGAGGCGAGGCGAGGCGAGGCGAGGCGAGGCGAGGCGAGGCGAGGCGCGGCGGGGCGGGGCGGGGCGGCTCGCTGAATGCGAACCCGCGCTGGCCTTCATCAAAGGGGCCGCCAGTGTACCGCCTGCGGTGGCCCCGCGAGCAGTCTGTGGCGATGACTGCTTCTACCAAGGCGACGCGACGCCCCTTCTCGCCTCGCCTCGACCAGCCCCATCCGTAATGCCCTGCCTTTGACACGAATGGGCAAGGTTCGGGACAAATCTAAGCTTAGACGCGCGTCTTCAAAAATTTACTTTTCAGAAGAAAAAATGTTTTGTTCAAACATGCTCGAATAGTGTTTTCAAAACAGGCGTAACCATATGGTTGCTCTTATTTCTTAAAATGTTTAAAATAATTGAATATTTGGTTGTTGGTATTGGATGGGTGGTCGAGAAGATGATACAGTGATATTTAGTTACAGGGATGAACAAATAAATATTTCAAACACCAATGAAGAGTGGTTGCTGGACTGGCTTCACACAAGGATGCATATGACTCACAAAATAAGGAATGGAGTCGTTTACGTGACAAGTTATAGGGGCGCTGACACTGTGTGGCCTCGGTCATTCTCGACGAAGGATCGGATGTTTGTCTCTGTCTTCCTTGCGGAACGTGGCAAGGCTTCCTGAACTAAATGTTTTTTCTCGCAATTGGAAAAACCATCTGTGTTTTGAGGGATATTCCTCAATGTTCAGAAACGAAAAGCGTAAAGACCGACGATGATCAAACAACCTATTGAATGATTGAACGCTTGATTGATTGAACACTATTGAATGATTGAAATGCCAGATTTCTGTTCCGGGAAACAGATGTTTACTTGCTTTTTCTCACAGCAGGTATTCAAAGATATAAAAGATCGTAACACAATCTTGGTGTTAATATGTTCTTTTCTTAAAATGTACCGAAGCATTTCAACGTTTAAGCCGCACAAGAAGTAGAATGCCTAATTAGAACTTCACAATTACCCTGAAGTATTTCACGCGTGCTTGGGCGCGACAAGAAAGGGTGAAAGCGATACTCGGGGCTGCAACCCTCGTCGAGCAGCGTCTGTGGAGGGCGCTGAAAAGGGTGAATTGCACAAACGCTCACTTGAACCTCTCTAACAATGCCCCTCTGCGTTCGGGTCAATTACTTTACTTAGTTTAAAGTAACTCAAGCTCAGATGGTGCTTTGTTTCCTGGTCGAGATGTTGGCATGTGGAGTAGTTAACAAAATACAACCCCCAAACGAGCAGACACAGAAAAAACGCAAATCTCTTCTGTTCTATTACTGTTCCAAACATTAAATATCGCCTGCTGAGTAGTTCAGTAAGCTAAAATATCTTAGAGAATTACAAAAAATAAACTGTTTATTACAGAAAATAGCATGGCACAACATCGAGCAATCGGTTGCGTGGTGTCTTTATAATTTGTTCTTGTTCGTGAAAATACAATATTATCTGATGCATGTAATGAAATATAATGAATAATAATCTTAGTCCTAAAGGTGTGATTCAAACTTCATTTTTCATCCTCAACCTTGCACTCACGGCATTGAGCGACAAATAGCAAGAATATTCTTGGAAAAGTGTTTCGTATTCGCGACTGCAGAATCTGCACAGGCGAGATAGTCTCGGCGGCCCTGAAGGCAGGCACCGCCTCCTGCTCCCAGACAGGAAACAGCCGCTCCGCGCCGAGCGCGCCGCCTCGCTCCACTCCGCGCTGGCGACGGAAATTGAAGTGCGGTACGCAGAAGCCCGGCCGCAAGGCGTTCGGGGAACGACTTATAAATACGAGCATTACTTTTATCCTTTCCGACGCGAGTGAATTACAATAGTATCGCTGAGCGACAGCTCGCGTTTCACGTAGCAGGTGAGACCACTCAAATCGAGTGGATTTGTTTATTTCCATTTCCATGAGTGACGCGTGAGATAAAGATCGCCCAAGAGGGATTATTACATCCTGGTATAGTGTCGATTCGATGAACGTTATTTCAGTGCAATGGCGCGTTTCCGGGTGTGTCTGCTAGGTACCTTGTTCTCTTGTTTGGAACGATTCACTTCTTTGTCATTTTTCTTTATTTTGCGTCTCTTGTTTTATTATTGTTATATCCATGAAGGTTTTCTTGAGAAGTTTTTCAGTACGCCCATAAGAGAGGTTTCTTCCACAACACAAAGGAAGGTTCTAGAGAGAGTCAAAACGTCTTTGGTAGGTAACGTCATTTCACTAGTGGTTGACCTAATTCGAACAAAATAGCGGATGACTAAGTGGATGATAATGATTCCAACAACAAAATCTAATAAAAGTTTATGTTAGATCTTCGAATATTTCCGTGTATATTGCAACAAATCTTAAAAGTAAGGCGTACGGGTTTGACACCTGAATTCTCAATTATTGCGGGGAAAGATTCCATGATTATATTTATAGTTTACCCACTTCGATTATTTAAAGTCAAATTATACTATCTGAGACCAGTCTTGTAACCCTGGCCACAATGCACATCTCCCTAGGGACAAGTGGCAACGCAGGTCAATAGCGAACCTTCGCTGGAAAAAGCACGATGCATGCGCAGCCAAAAAGAAAAGAGGAGACCAACTTAGTTCCATTAAACTTTATCATTAATCCATTAAACTTTATCATTTACAAAAGACCGCGTATGTTAAAAGAAAATTAATAAAACAATCGAGGTAAAAGGCATTATAACTTGCGTTAATAAATAAAACTGAGTTTATGGTGACTTATGTTCAGGTTTACCAGATGTTTGGCCAGCTTCTTCCTTGTATAATAATTTCCCCAAATTCTGACGTTAGAAAAGGGAGAAATCCAAGATTTGGCATTTCAGAGAATAAAATATTTCTCCTTCTTAGTTAGACGAAAGGTCCTTTCATAATTTTAAAGAAGCCACGCCCCTCTACCTCCCTTCGTGCGCACGCTCTTGAATGCAATAAAGGGCCAAAGGGAAGGAGTAGCGGTCAGATCTAAGATGGCTTTCGCGCTGAGGAGCCGAGTCGCAGTAATATCGGATGGGCCAAACGATGTATTGAAATACAGTTCAACATGCGACGCGCATACACAGACGCATACTAAAACTGTAGCGAATCCCAAGCGTGTCCGCGCTCCTCCAGCTCTCCAGTAAACCTTGGATTTTTAGGCACAAAACACGGATGATTTTGGCACCTAAAATAAGTAACAAAATTATAAAAT